TTTCTTTAGGTTTTATTAGTAGAACGGCACTGTTTTAGTAATCTGAACACGGTGTAGAAACAGAGTAGACAAAAGGCTGCAGCTTTAGAGATAATTGTAGCAACAGTCTGTCCGTCACTTAAAATGTATGAAATAAAATAATATTTGTGCAGCATTGTTTTTCTTTAGGTTTTATTAGTAGAAAAATCAGCAATGTGCAACTGTCTAGAATTGATAATGGAATTAATAAGCTCGGAGGCATACGATTCTCATGATCAGACCATTTGGAACCAGTTCTCAACCCGATCTGCATCCCTATCAGTGGGGTGCGTTTGGGAGTTTAAAAGGAAACTAGGTAAATTTTTTATGAACTTTTGCCATTTGTCGTAAAAATGTTTTCCCTAGTGATTTGATTTGAAGGAATTAACATTATAGCTAATTATTGTAAGGGACAGGCTTATATACAGTGGTCAACTTAAAGCAACCAGGGGTAAAATTGGGCTGGGGGAAGCCTGGAAAGCCTTTGGGAGCCTGCGACAGAAATAGGGCATCAGCTTTAAACAATGAAAAGCAGGGACTGGATCAAGTGCATCGGACCTTGAAACAATCACTGCCTTAGCCAGAGTAGCCAGGAAAACACCACTGCAGAAAGTCGGGATAAGAGCTAAACTAACCCAGCTTGGACCTAAGATAGCGGGTTAGTTTAGCTCTAATCCTGGCTCTAATAAACTGTGCACTGTAACTTAACCTAGCTATATGTGATGTACTGTGGTTCATGTGTTTCAAGGCACAAGGATTAAGGCCACCATGTGACTGCTCTGTGTCCATTCAACTAAAACCTCTTGACACAGCTGCCTTTAAACAAATAACTGCTTAAAAGCAGCTGAATGTGTTACTGAAATGTGCAAAAGAAAACAAAATTTGATTGTAGTGTTTTTGTAGCTGCATTCAGGCAGAAACATCAATCACACCGGAGTTAGATAACACTGACGGGCTGATATTCAATAAAAAGATAATATCAGCCCAAACGTATAATCTAAGCAATACATTATAGTAAATGATACCACAGATACTATTCTTAAAAGTGACGCTGTGTCATTATATAGTCCATTACCGCTCACCTACCTGCTGTCTATCATTAACAAGGAATCATTCTAGATAGTTATCTGGCCTGTGTAGACAGTGCATCGTGCCTCGAGGTCGACGCCTGGGCTCCTTTCGCTTTCTAGAGTCGCTACAGGTAAATCTGTATTATCTATATGTGCTATACAGCATCAACAACAGGCCGACAAAGTGGATAAAAAAGTTTGGGTAGAAGCAGTTCGAACACATTTCCGCGGACTTTGGATTACTTTACCAAGGCAGCTAGCTTGCTAACGTTAGCTACCGTCAGCAGTCAGGTTGCTGCTCTCCCAGCCACCCCGTCTACACCTGATGGCTCCACTCACCTCTTCACCCAGCTGTGTCAGCTGTTCCCGCTTGGTCGAGAAGATCACAGAACTGGAAGGATGAATTTCCACCTTATACCACATCCAGGAAGCAGAACAACTCCTGGACACCATCACCTTCGGCCCAGCAAAAACCAACACAACCTGCACCCATGAACCCAACGCCAGCCTCCCCGTTGCCACTGTTAAAGTCGCTGCTCCTCCAGAGTCCAGGGTCACCACTCACCGGCGTCCTGCTGATTCCCCCCCTCCTCCGACCTCCATCCCTGATGACTCTTGGCTACGGCTCGGGGCTAAGCCCAAAGCCCTGGTCAGCTCCACACCGTCCCACCACGAGTCCTGGAAGCTGGTCAGGGGTAAGGGTAGAGGGAGGGGGACACGGTCCTCTCCTGCACCCCACAACTATAACTATAACATCCAGCTGGAAAATAAATATGAACTCTTCAACCCGCATGATTTCCCTCCCCTGACTGCAGACTCCCGGCCCCCTTCTTCACTTCCTCTGCCATCCCGGGGGTCGGTCAGGAACTCACGGTCCCCCCCGTTCCCTCCACCATCCATTCCCTACCGCTCCCCCCGCAGGGCTCGCCGCTACATACTGCTTTTTACACCCACACCGCGGCGGGATCCTGCACGCCTCTCTGCTGGCCCTTACACATCCACTCCATCACCACAGGTCAAGTCCCCTCCACCTGCCTCTCCCCCCCCCATCCACACTCATCATTGGAGAAACATCAAGAAACCATCCGCATTGACCTTCTGTTTTCCCGCTGCCAAAGTAACGGACATCAACCGCGACATAGGTCGCTTCAGCCGCATCCTCAGCTTCCACACCTGGCTGCAATTAACCTGTGCTGCCTGCAACATAGCCTTTGTTGACAATTTTAATCTCTTCTGGAAACGCCCAGCTTTCTTCCAGCGTGATTGCATTCACCCCAATGGCCTGGGCTCACGCATTTTAACAGACAACTTGTTTTACTCAATTTTAAACTCTTCTTTACACTGACTACCTCAGCACTCAATCTCATCACCGGCAGCACTCTCTTCTCTCACAAACAGGATTTATACACCTTCCTTCATCACCACCATCATCCATTATCATAGACCGTCTGCAGCACGTTCAAGACCACACCCATCTGCTGTCAATCACAATAACCTAATTCAAGTCACCCTACAACCTCTGTCCCCTCCTGCTCTTAGCTGTAACCCTGTAAATATTGGTCTTTTAAACATCAGATCCCTCAACAACAAATCCTTTCTTTGCCATGATTTTATAACTTTTAATAATGATTTTTTTATCCTCACAGAAACATGGCTGTCCCAGGGAGATTTTAGTCCTCTTATCGAAGCAACTCCCCCTGATTTTACACACCTCCACCAACCCCGGTTGTCAGGCAGGGGAGGGGGGGTTGCTGTCATTTACAGAAAAGATTTTAATTGCACTCCTGTTTTACTTCTTTTGAACATCTTGGTTTTATGGTTCACTCAAAGGTTCCAGTAATAATTTTAGTAATCTACAGACCGCCCAAACCAAACTCTGCTTTTATCCAAGAGTTTGCAGAGCTTTTATCTCGGTACGACAAAATTCTTATTCTAGGTGATTTTAACATTCATGTTTGTTGCCCTCCTCAGTCTTTCACTACAGATTTTATGGATATTCTGGAGTCTTTTAACCTCACCCAGGCAGTTCAAGAGCCCACTCATTCAAAGGGTCACATCCTGGACCTGGTTCTGTCCAGTGGCCTCAGCCCAGATAATCTAACTATTAAGGATATTTGTGTGTCGGATCATAAAGCTGTTTTATTTAATATCATTTTATCCCAAACACCTTTTAATCACAGTGCACCAGTCCGCGGCCGGGTTTTTAACACCAGCTCAGCTAGTAAGTTTTCAGAGCTTTTTAGTGCTTCTTTAACTGCTTTTAACCCAGATTTTTTAA